AATGAGTAGAAAGTTTTAACAGTTGTTAAATATTCCATGTAAGTAGCCTGGAGACACACAGCTTTTCTCTCTCCTCCTACAAAATCCCCCTTTTGACATGAGAGAGTTTTCAGCAAGACCATGTTGCATTTGGATGCATGCTTCCACTTAGAGGTAAAGGACAGAAACACCTGGAAGAGTACTGACCATCATGCCTCAGCTCAGAAGGAGGAACCTGCTTTTCTCAAATCCTCTACCATCTGCCCCTGGACCACAGGAATTGAATACTCCATCCTTGTCCATGTGAAATACTGGCTGTGTGCAGAACTTACAGTCACACTCTTTGTGCCATAAAACAGTTCCCAAGCCCTACCAAGTTACAGTTTGGATGAGCAGGAAATGTAGTTGGGGTATGACAAGGCAGGAGCCTATGCTGGGCCCTCAGATGACTGAGTGTAGGGGGCGCCACTTCCAGTCTTTCGGCCCCCAGGGGGTGAGGAGGATACAGAGTGCCTGGCTGGATGCTCAGGAACCTTCTCCACACCCTTCCTTGTGTTGCAGATGAAGATGCCTTCCAAGAAGTGTGCACACATCCCTGTCTACACACTCGGTTTTGAGAGTCTTCAGAAGGTGCCAACTACCAAAGCCACGCCAACACTGAGGAGAGATGCCTTCCAGTATGTTCTTTTGCACTGTTGCTGGTATCCTGTGGTAGTAAACAATTGAACGTAACTGGGAAACTAGGGCAGGTGTCTATGGCACTGTGAGGATTTCCACAGGGAACAAGTCATTTGGCAGGGCTCTAGAGGCAGGGTTGTAGGGAATTGGGTTTGGGTGGTCTGGGCTCAGGACCTCAGTGCCCGTCCAGGAAGAACCTTTGCAGGGATGCACACTGCCAGGTGCGTTCAGTAAGACACCTGTGGATGAGCCATGAGGAAGGAGAGAAGAGGCAGCAGGGAGCTTGGAGGGGTCACTGTGGACATAAAAAGCAAGATTTGGGATTCTGAAGTGGCAGGACAAGACCTGTGGAGGACCCCGGCTGTAATAGAGTCCTCTCTTCTCATGGTTCTCTCCTGGCATCTTTTCATCCTAGATCCCTGCAGGGACCAAGATGGCGGAGCGTAGAGGAGGAGTTCCCCCACATCTATGCCCATGGCTGTGTCCTCAAGGATGTCTGCAGTGACTGCACCAACTTCGTGGCTGATGTAGTATGCTCCAGCCGCAAGAGTGTGGATGTCCTCAATGCCACTACACGACGCAGCCGCCAGACCCAGTCCCTTTACATCCCCAACACCAGGACTCTCAACTTGCAGTGACTGTTGTGATGGTCACCCTGCTCCCCTTCCTGGGACACAGCTGCCATCAACCCCCTTGCGCATGTACATATATACATATATAGACACATTTATAATATATATACAGCCTATATATTTATATTTATACACATTGTCTCTTTGCCCTAAAGTTCATTTAGGGCCAAGCTTACTCCAGGACCTTCCTTCTTTCCTCTCAGGAATCCTTGGAAAGGCTGGGAGGGACTGGGGAATGGAGAAAGGACAGCTTTCCTGCTCCATGCCTTGGTTCTCTTGTAGTGAGCTTATGGCAGCCTCTCTTCCCTGGGTGGACAGGGCACCTTGGTTCTCAGGTGAACCTGAATATCAGGTCTACCTGTCCTTTAGGGGGCTCAAGCAGCAGAGGCACCTGGGAGGCCTCCACGTCTCTGGGATTGTGCTATGAGGAAGCCCAGATACCCCAAGCCAAGCTTGCTCCTGGTCCCTTTCTGGCACTGTGTGACTTTTCCTGGGGACTTATGAACAAACATCTATTCCCCCTGTATAGGGCACCGACAGACCAAAGAAATGATTGCACTCAAGTCTAGCTTGATGAACCAATGAGTCTTCTGAGATTACAGTAACATGGTGAGGGGTCCCTTACAAGAACATAAGTGGCTCTTGGGTAGTTGCATCACCCCAAAGCCCTACCCCAGCATAGGTGACAGTTCATGAAAGGTGCTTCAATATAAGTCTCCCAACCAATTTTCCTGTACTGAGACCATGGTGTAGCTGGGGGGGGGGGGGGAGTTTGGCCGGAATCTCCTGTGAGGAACTGGTGACCTGCTTCCTACCAGGTTAATAACCCTATAACCATCACCAGAGACCGTCATACCCGCATACTGTGTTATCTGCTTCACTGCCAGAGTTGCAGGCCCATGTGCTCTGCAGGTTACCACAGCTGCACGGTGCTGATGGTTATGTTCATTAAGCCCAGAGGAAATACCTACACGGGACTCAGGAAGGGCTGTGCTAAGCACCCTGCTTGCTTATAGGCACCCAAGAGGTGGGGTTTTGTCATCACCACACCTTACAGATAAGGAAACCGAGGTTCAGTAAGGTAAAGGGATTTGACTGCTTATCTCAGAAGATGCCAGAATTCCAACTGAAAGCCTGTTAACTGAGCCTTCCTGACTGCCTCCAGGCTCTGACACCCTGCTTAAGGCTAGAAGAGGCACCAAAGGCACATGACTGTGACAGATGGATCTGTGGGTGTTGTCTTTGAAATTAGAACACCCAATAAAAGCAGCTAGCACTCAGCACTTGTTCGAACACTTCATAGGCTGCCTTTGTATATTGTCTTCTAGATTTTAAAAGACATTTATGTTATGTGGGTTTTTTGCATGAATTTTTGTGCACTATATTCATGTAGGAGCTATCAAAGTGGAGCTGCAGGCAGTTGGGAATAGCCATGTGGGTGCTCAGAATTGAACTCAGGTCCTCTGTCTGTGCGGCATCTTAACCACTAGGCCATCTTTCCAGCCCTTTGTTTTGTTTTAAAAGAACAGGCAGAGAGGGTCAGGAATTACTACTGGCACTCAACAAGCAACAAAAACACCCACGTTTAACCAAGTACGGAGGCTATTAGAATCAGGAAGAGCATCAATTTGAGACTCATCTGGGCTACATAGCAAGCTCCGGAGAAGTCTGAGCTATATAGTGAAGTCTCAGACAAGAAAACACTCAAGTTTATGTAGTGCTCTCCAGGACAGCCACTCCTAGGAACTAAGTACAACTGCTAATATACAGACTCGAAAGTAGCCACATATCCATCTCCCACTCCCAAACACAGCCCCCCAGGTTCTGATCTCCACATGAACACAAATGAAGGCAACAAAAGCCCATCCTGGAAACAGCTAGGCTGAGCTGAGGGATAATGCTTACAGGTTGTACTGTTCCCTACACTTGTTTTCTGAGGCTGCTTAGGCAGGAGAGCACTGTGTGCTTCTGTCTTACTGCCCATTGGGGTTGCTGGTCTCTTCCAGAACAGTAGGCTGCACATCAGCCCACTGAACCAGCCTCAGCCTCATCTGTTGGATACTAGGTCAGAGTGGCTCAGAGCCGAGATCTCCTGAAGGACCAGATCTGCAGCAGTTCAGGGAAACACAGTTAGAGCTAGTGGTTCAGGGAAGACCGACTCCCAGGTTGGGCCTGATGCATCCTTCAGTGTTGACAGCCTCTCCCAGGAGAAGCGGTTCCAGACTGAGAGTTCTGGGTAAGTTGGTCACACCACTCGATCACAGATGACACAGAAACTAGCCTGGTACTGAACAGTCAAAACAGATGTGAAGATGGTGTGCTGAGCCTGATGTGGAGGAGGCTGGGACTTTTAACTGTGACTAGAACCAGGGAAGGGGATGTGGGGTGACACCCTGAGACAACAGCTACAGGACATCAACTTTGAAGTACCTTGAGATTCTTGCATAGTGTGGGCAGAGCAGCTAAGCCAGTCTTTGGACTCAGCATTCAACCTAGGGAGAAACCAAGATTCCCAGGGGAGGCAGGCTGGAGTGGAGCTCGTGGACAGTGGGGTCACAGCAGAGCTGGAAATAAGGGATCTGCCCTGCCCACCTGTCCTTGCAAATAGACTACTTTGTTGGGATTTGGGGAGTCACATGAAGGGAAACCCAGGTTCTCTCTGGGCTACTTACTCATTAAGTCAGTTTCTTCACCTGTAAAAGGATATCTATCTCTGAAAATAATAATCTAGAACAGTGACCGGCTTGGCACAACAGTGAAGGCTGTCCGTCCACTCACAGTGCCCTCTCCCCTGCTCCCAAGGTAGGAAAGGGTCCGACCCAACACCAGTTTATTTTACATTTGTACTCCGGAGGTCCTCAATCCTGGCTTGTCTAGGGAATTTTTTTTCCAAAGTATAAAAAACTGGGCCTAAACATAGCACAGTTTTGTAATCCCGGACCTTCAGAGGCAGAGAATCCCTGTGAGTTCAAGGGGCAGCGTGGTCCACATAGCAAGCTCCAGGCCAGTCAAGGATACACAGCCAAGATCTCCGGTGTTTTGTTTGTTTGCTTTCTTTCTTTTGTTTTGTTTCTCTGTGTAACCCAAGACGTGCTGGAACTCTGTAGACCAAGCTGGCCTTGAACCCAAAGATTCGCCTGCCTCTGCCGCCTGAGTGCTGGGATTAAAGGTGTGTGCCACCACTGCCCGGATCTTTCTTGGGTTTATTTTAAAGAAGGAAAGAAAGAAAACAGAGCCAGATCTGTGCAGAAGGTCCCTACATCCTTATTGTGAAAACCTTCCTGAATTAGAATCCACGCTACTCCTCACCCAATACCACCAGAACACGAGCAAAAAAAAAAAAAAAACACAACTCCTAGTGCCTAACTCGGTTCCGTGCATCTCAGAGAGGAGCTACGCAGGAATCTGTCTTGACGATGTTCCTCGGCCCAGACTGTTTATAAAGGCGGAAACCGTCCCTTTGCAGTCTAGTAGCCGTGTGGAGGTGGGGACCATCGGACAGGTCGCAAGGGTAGGCTACGCAGACAGGGGCTCCACGGTCCCATCTTCGCACGCAGACGACAGCAGTGTGCGTACCTGCTCCCATTCCTCCTCACCTGGCCCCACCTAACCAACTCCCGCCCCCACGCCGCCCGCCAGCCCCGGGAACCACGTCAGTGGCGTGGCGTGCGGCGTTCTGAGCCTGCGCGGTCCCGTCCGCGTCACAGCCTGCTATCTGCAACCCATACCCCTCGAAAGCCGAAGAAATACTGCAGTACGGTCGGCGCCGGGCCGCCGCCAGGGCTCAACTCTCGCGAGAACTCTCTGGGCCACCCTCGCACCTTCTCGGGCTGCACGGGTGATTGGGAGGAAGTTCCGGAGAGCCGCTGCGCGCAAACGCGACACGCCAACCTTGCGCCAGCGCGCCGCAAGTGCGCAGGCGCCGCCGCTCGCCTGGTCTTCCTCGTCCCTCTGCCTACATCTGGCTGTCGGGTCCTATGTCGCGCCGGGCCCTCCGGAGGCTGAGGGGGGAACAGCGCGGCCAGGAACCCCTAGGGCCCGACGCCTTGCAGTTTGTCCTCCCAGATGACGATGACGCGGAGGAAGAGGGACCAAAACAAGGATCGGGTGGCCGGCGCCCCGGGGGCGCCGGGAAGGAAGGAGTCCGTGTCAACAACCGGTTCGAGCTGGTAAGGAGCTGGGCAGCCGGAGGGGACGGGGTGGGGGGCATGACGTCATACGAAGGGGGCCTAAAGTTGAGTCTAGACTGCAAGCGAGTGGGCGGAGTGAAGGGACTGCGCTGCATCGGGGAAGGCGGGTCTTCGAGAGGGTGGGTGGGGTGATGAGGCAGTGCTGCAGAGCGAGTCGGGGTGGTGGCGAGGGGCGGGGCTCCCCGGCCGAGATCGAGTGGAAGGTGGAAGAAAATGCTGAGCGAAGGGGCTCCTAAAGGTTGCAGGGAGGTGGGGGCAGGATGCTGTCAAGGGGGTTGAGTGACAGGACTTCGCTGCAGGATAGGGCGTGTCTCCGGCCAATGTCTAGAGGCGTGGTGTGACATAGGGGCAGGACCGGGCCATGACGTCAGGGCGGGTGGGTCATGACCTCTGAGATAGCTAAGGGGAGGGCCCGCAGGGTTGGTGAGTGGAAGGTGGGGTTCAGTTAGGTCTAGGCGTCAGTGAAGGGGTAGGGTTGTGCTATCTGGGGGCAGTGCTGTAGAGCGGTAGGCATGGCTTCCTGTCAGCCACTCGAGGGGGTCTCGATTCTAGCTCTTGACAAACATCTTGGTTTATTTGCCACAGCACTTCTGTCTGTCCCAGCATTTGTACCTAACTCATCCTTTGCAGCACGTATCTGACACAGTAAATGTGTAGCACTCGAGTCCCATAATGTTCTTCCTTGAGACTGCCTGACCTGTGTCTGCAGTTTCCATATGTGCATGAATTATGATTCTGGCTTCATGTGTGGGCAGATATATGTCTCAGTCGTTTAGTGTCTCCAGTGTGCACATATGGTAAGGCTTCAGTGGCCATTTTTGACTGAGTGAAAACTTGTCTGGAAGTCCTTTATAATAACCTTGCAGTGGGTTGTCCCCTGCTTTTATCGATTGGCAGATTTAAAAGTCCGTATACAAAGATATTGAGGAGCGTGGGAAATGTAGACATTTTAGGAGTTTGATGCAGAGATCGTTCGCCTCTCCAGGAAGGAAGGAGAGGGATTGATGTACAGTCTGTGGTGGTAGTGGGACTGAAGCCTCCTCTTGTTCTGGCAGAACTCTTCCTCCTCTGATTTTCAGCCTGAACGTAGCTCCGGTTCCTTCTGTTTCTTGTCCTTGGTGCACAGTCATATAGGCAAAACACCCATACACATCAAAATAACATTTTTTAAAAGATAAACACTAAACCATTAACAGTGCCATCTTCAAAGAAGCAGAAGCGCGGTGGCCTTATCTTATAAATAAAAAATAAAATAGGGCTGGAGAGATGGCTCAGTGGTTAAGAGCATTGACTGCTCTTCCAGAGGTCCTGAGTTCAATTCCTACCAACCATATGGTGGCTCACAACCACCGGTAATAAGATCTAGTGCCAACTTCTGTCTTCAGGGACACATGCAGGCAGACCATTGTATGCATAATAAATAATAAAAAAAAAAAGGGAAATACAAATCCCCCTTATGTGCCCATGGCCCAGTTCCCAGTTACATTCATTCAGTCTACATGTCTTTAATGTTATCTCGCTCCCTTCTCTCCATGAGGTGATTTTTAATCAGATCTCGGACATCACATTGTTCTCCTTAAGTGAGTCTTCCTCAGCATCCAGATTCCTCCCTTGGCAGCAACTGGTGTTAGCTCTCAGACCTTGGGTGTCTGAGACCATTGGCCCTGAAGATTTTACAGCTCTCTGGAACTCTTCCTCCGGTGATCAAGGCTTGCATTTTTTTCTTCCCTGGCTCTTTCCAGCTCTCTACCTTTAGCCTCAGTTCTCTGCGTCTGCCTCCCTTTGTTCTGCCCCCCCCCCCCCCCCCCCCCCCCCCCCCCCCCCCCCCCCCCCCCCCCCCCCGCTCTCTTGAACTGTTCACCTGCCTCTTTTTTAGGTGGCAAGTAGCTGGCTGCCTTGCCGCTTCTGGAGCCCAGGCTGGTCACTGCTCAGCTGCTTCTTTCTCTGTATTACTGGCTTAGTCCACATAACTGAAGTAGGCAAGAAAAGGGGCCGGAGAAATAACTCTGGTTTAGAGCCCTTGTTGCTTTTCCAGAGGACTTGAGTTTGGGCTCAGGGGATCACCTACAAAGCAACCAAGGCTGTGATAGTAAGAACCGAATACAAACTGAAGCACTATTTCTGACACTGCACCTTGAGGAGGCTGAACAATCAGCTGTGATCACAGTGCTATGTAGGTTTTTTTTCAAATGTACAAAGGAATATTGATATAATGAATGGATAGTCTGCCTTGCTGTTGGATGGACAGTTCTGTTCCTCAAGGCCACTCTGGAAGAATACAACAATTGCCAATTAGAGAATCAAAATGCTCCATCATCCTCCAAAGTCTTTGCATAGTTATAGGAAAACTAGCATCAGAATTTGAAGAAGTTATTAACATTCATACTGATTCTACCCAATTTTAACATTGTCTAACGTGTACAGCGTCTTCAGCTCCAGGTGCACAGGAGACTTCATTACTGCTGTTCTCTACACTCTGTTCTGAATACACAGCTGATAGCTCTCCCTTCCCAGCAGTTGTCAGGAGCCAGGTTCGTGCAGGACAGTTCTCCCCCACCTCATCTTTTTCTAATCTTGCTCACTGTGTTCCAGCCGCCCTGACCTCGCTGTGCCCCCTGTCCCCAGCTGCAGTCTTCCTTGTTGATATGCTCACATAAGACTTACTCTCGCCTCTTGTGGGCTTGCTTAGGTGTTATCCTTCTGGTTGCATCTCCCCTTACCACCTGGCTACAATTACAACCTCAGCCACATTCCTTTCATTCTGTGTTTTGATTTTTCTTCCCCCCCCCCCCCCCCCCGGCACGTACCACAAGCACACTATATTCTTGTGTGTTTGCTGATTGTTTTCCACTGCTGGAATAGAAGTTTCTTGGAAACATAGACTCTGTTGCTCACTGATGTACCCCACTGCTCAGGATAGTGTCTGGCACCCAACATGCATACCAATCTGTGATGATTTTAATAAGACATGCATGCAAGGCTGTGGAGTCAGATGCGAGGATGCTCTTGCTAACTCATAGGACTGTCATGAATACTGCATAAACTCATGGGTGCAGTGTGTAGCATATGCTGGGCATGGATCAGCACTCAACAGTGCAGAAATGTGCTGTTGGAAATGAAGGGGACAAAAGCACTCTAGAAACATTACTGTCAGTGGTTTAGTTGGATATATTCTTAGGGGTTGATGATGTCTTCTTTGGAGAAGGAAGCAAGGTAAAGACTTTACATTAGAAATCATCTTTATTATTTCAGTCAGAAGACAGGGTTTCTCTGTGTAATAGCTCTAACTGTTCTGGAAATAGCTCTGTAGACCATGCTGGACTCAAACTCACATCCGCCTGACTGTGCCTCCTGAGTGCTGGGATTAAAGGTTTGTGCCACTACTGCCAGGCTCAATCAGAAGAATTTTTAAAAATCAATTTATTGCTGAACATGGTAGCACATACCTTGAATCTCAGCACTCAGGATTTCTGTGTTAGAAGGCAGTTTGACCGTATATCAAGTTCCAGGCCAGCCAGGGCTACTTAGTGAGACCCTGTTTCAAAAGGGGGGGGGGAGGAAATCAACTTATTCAAGGTATATAATAAAATATATCTACTTGCAGCATCTAGTATGTATTTGATATTTCCAACTGTGTGAATTGTTCATGCTTTAGACATCTGGTATGTGCTCACTTCTCCTGGCCCCTTGCTCAGAGCACACTTGTTTTGAGTATCCCTGGTTTGCTCTTTCTTATTGCTGAGTACTAGTATGTTCTGTTCAGTGATGGGGATTGAACCTAGGGTCTTGTGCATGCTAGATCTGCTTGCCTATTCTCCTAAGTGCTGGGGCTGGGATTAAAGGAGTACACCACCACCACACAGCTTTTTTTCCTTTTTTCTTTTTTTTTTTTTTTTTTTTTTGAGATATGGTTTCAACTGGGCCATGGTGGCCCATGCTTTTAATCCCAGCACTAGGAAGACAAAGGCTGTCAGATCTCTGAGTTTGAGGCCGGCCTGGTCTACAGAGTGAGATCCAGGACAGCCAAGGCTACACAGAGAAACCCTGTCTTGGGGTGGGGGCAGGCATAGGGCATGGTGGCACATGCAGAGGCAGGCAGATCTCTGTGAATTGAGGCTAGACTGGTATACAGAGTGACTTCTAAGATAGCCAGGGTCACATGTAGAGATTCTGTCTCAAAAAAACAAAAACAAAACTGTGTGTGTGTGTACACTCTCTATATAGATATATTATAATGTATACATACAGAATGTGTAACTGTTATATTTATATTATGTTTATATTTGTAATATATAGAGAGGCTATAATATATACTATATGTATAGATATATTGTTTCTATATTTGTATTATATATTTTATAATATTATATAATACAAACTATTATATATTAAATATACTTGAGTATGTTTTTATGGAGAAATATCACATTATACCTGTACACATGAATATAATATAAAATATAGATATAAATAACATTATAATCTATATGTATGGTCTCTATATATTATATATTATATATATTTGTATGTATTGTGTGGGGGCCTAAGAGATGGCTCAGGTGTTAGGAGCCCTGGCTGCTCTTCTAGAAGTCCTGCGTTCAGTTCCCTGCAACCACATGGTGGCTCACAACCATCTATAGTGGGATCTGATGCCCTCTTCTGGCATAAAGTTGTATATGCATATAAAGCTCTCATGTACATAAAATAAACCTTTTTTTAAAAGTTGTATATATACTGTGTGTGTATATGCACATGCATATAGACTCAAAAGAAAAAGGATAACAAACAAAATTAACTTAAAAAATTGACTCAGTTGGGTATGGTGGGAGGAAGGTTGATATGAGTTCAAGGCCAGCCTTGACTTCTTAGTGAGACTCGGTCTTTTAAAAAAAAAGTTGGAACCAGGCATGGTGCTGTATGACTTTAAAGATGGATCTCTGAGTTTGAGGCCAGCCTGGTCTACAGAGTGAGTTCCAAGACACAGAGCTACCCAGAGAAACCCTGTCTGAAAAAAAAAAAAAGTAGCTTTTTGGTGCACATTATAGTAATTTTATTATAATAGAACAATATGTAAATCTTTCACCAACCGCATATAAACCTGAATGAGCATGACTTTTGCCTTACAGCTACAGAGTATGAGGGGAAAATTCACGTGACTGTCTTTTTGACACTGGTTCCTACTATGGGGCTCTCAAGGCCACCTTGCAGGGTTAGTAAATAGTGAGAAATAAGAATTTTGTTGTGTGGCTCACCTCAGGGAACACGTACAGAGTGTGCAAGGACAGAGCGTGGACAGAGGGAAGTACAAGAGGCTGTGCTTGCTCTGTCGACCAGGTGGGCCTCCAGTCCTTCAGATGTCCATGACCGTGTGCATGAAGCGTTCCCAGCCGGGGAACGTGACCTGAGTTTCCAAGTTCAGGTTCTTTGTCTCTTTTTGGCATCAGGGGTAGCAAGATGAGCTGGTTCTGCAGTTTGCTGGTGGAGTTCCTTGAATGGGGCTTTACTGTGTAGTTCACTTAGCTGACCTGGCTCTGAGGTGCTTCTGGAGGATGACTTTGGATACCCACATTAGATCATGTTGCTACCACGTGACTTGGCCTCAGGGCCCCTGTAAGTCCTTTGGTCAGTGTGGATTGAATCCCCAATGAAGAGGACATTACTGTGGAGAATGACCAGAGGCTTGCTTAGATGTTAACTGCCCAGAAACCAGGACAGAGGCTAGGCCTTTGTTTGGATGGGATTCAGTTTATTATTATGTATCTATAAAGTGGAACTAAACCTTCTCCCCTGACCCCAGACAGGGTTTCTCTGTATAATAGTCATGGCTGTCCCGGAACTACCTCTGTAGACCAGGCTGACTTGAGCTCACAGAGATCCATCTGCCTCTGCCTCCCAAATGCTGGGATTAAAGATGTGCATTACCACTGCCCGGTGAAACTAAATTCTTACTGCCACAAATAGTGCGTTCAACAGCATCATGGTAATGAGAGGCGTGTTCATTTTTTTAAGGTTATTTTTATGTGTATGAGTGTGTTGCCTGCATGTATACCTGTGTATCACATGTGTGCCTGGTGTGCACGGAGGCTGGAATGCTGCATTGGATCCCCTGGGCTGGAGCATGGAAGATTGTAAGCAGACTTGTAGGTGCTGGGACTCAAACCTAGGTCTTCTGGAAGAGCAGCCAGTGCTCTTGGCTGCTAAACTTGTCCTCTAGCCATTCTCGTTTTTTGTCCTCTGCCCTCCTGAGGAATCATTAGCAAGGTTTGCAAGTGAATATTCTGTGAGGAAAGAATGTGTTAGTGTTCTATTTGTGAACAATCAAAGGGAAATATCTGTGATGTTTCCAGATGTTTCTCAGTTCTGCCTGTACATAGATAGCTGCTATTCCTGATTTTCAGGTACATAATCACTCTCCGGAATGAAGAGTTCTGCTGGCTTCCTTCTGCCAATTCAAAAAGTAGCTTCTCTGTTAGCAACCTGTCACAGGCATTGTGGTAACTTGTCTGGCAAGTCTAACAGACTTCAAAATAGTTTATTGAGGCTGGAGACGGCTCAGTGGTCAAGAGCACTGGTTGCTGCTCTTCCAGAGAACCCAGGTTTGAACCACATTGATGACTCATAACTCTCTAGTTCCAGGGGATATGTCATCCTCCTCTGGCTTCCATGGGCACCAGAAATCCATGTGGTACATGTAGGCAAAATACCCATAAACATTAAAAAAAAAAAAGAAGAAGAAATTTGAAGTTGCCTTTGGGAGGTACTCAGTAAATGGGGTCCTGTGGTCTGGGATTCTGAATGTCGTGCCTAAAGATGATGGTGCCGTGCACCATTCAACCGTTGATATCGCTTGGGTGCGCGACTGAGCCAGAAGTCACTCAGAAGCTCTGGAATGTGCTGTGCTGCACGGACCAGATACTTCTTCCTTCTCACTACCGCACCCTGACCCCTTCAGAGGCCTCTCCATTTTCAAGTGTGTCCGCGTACACTGGACTGTGATGCTCAGCTGCTTTCATGTCCTTCTTGTCTTTTTTTTTTTTTTCTAGATAAACATCGAAGATCTTGAGGATGACCTTGTGGTAAATGGGGAGAGGTCTGACTGTGCCCTGCCAGACTCTGTGTCATCAGGGAACAAAGGAAGGGCTCAGCGTGGAAACCCAGAGGCGAAGCAAGATGAGGACGAGGCCAAGGCAGGGTTCCCAGAACAGGTATAGGCGGTCATATGGTGATGGGGTGACTGAGGCATGTCAGAGGGAGAGCCCCAAGGTGCTAGCAGCTCAGTACGCTGTCCCACCAGTTTCCTGAATTCTTCTGAGTTTGAGCTCATCAATTGTCTGGTTGCCCTGAGGAACCTAGGTGAGGTTTCTTTGGGAATCTGAAGGCCATTATTAGCCTCATGGGTACCATGTAGAGTGTCTACCTGCCTTTTTCAAGAGTGTCTGTGTCTGATCAGATGTTGTCTTGTGAAGCCTGAGTTCTCACAGAAGGACTTGGCTACTGTAGGTGTTGCAGGAGAGCAGAGGTAGGGCCCACCATGAGGAACTCTGGCCCAGTGAGTCCCCATTCAGGGCAGGTAGAGCACAGCAGGAAATGGTTGGCAAAATGAAGAGAGAAAGACAGTTGCCAGGTGATTGGATGGTCCTATGAGCTAAGTCTACTGTAGGTAGGGGAAGTCCTGAGGCACAATAGTGTCACTTGGGGGACCATGGGAGTTGTTTCTTACTGCAGAAATGCAAGTGATTTGGAAGAACTTGAGGATGTGGGGAAAAAAAGAAGGAGGACTATCACACTGGGAATTGAACTTGTTCTTTAAATTGTTTGTTTGTTTGTTTGTTTGTTTGTTGGTGTTTAGAGACAGGGTTTTGCTGTAGCTTTAGAGCCTGTCCTGGAACTTACTTTGTAAACCAGGCTGGCCTCGAACTTGCAGAGATCCACCTGCCTCTGCCTCCCGAGTGCTGGGATTAAAGGCATGCGCCACCACCGCCCAGCATTTTGTTTTATTTTAATTCAGAGTCTCACTATATACCCTGGCTAGCCTGGAACTCTCTATATAGACCAGGCTGGCTTCAAACTTAGAGATCCACCTGTATCTGCCTTCTAAGTGCTGGGATTAAAGGCGTGCGCCACCATACCTGGCTGTTGCGTAGTTCTTAATGTTTCCGATTTTATTTCTTTCCATTGATTAAAATGTCTCCTTCCATTAGTCTAATGCAAGTGGCAAACTCCGAAAGAAGAAAAAGAAGCAGAAAAATAAGAAAAGCTGCACAGGAGAATCCTCGGTATGTTGTCAAACTGGCTGGTTCCTCTGCCTGAGCCTCACTGTTCCTGATGGTCCCTCAGGCTGGTTCTGAAGAAAGCTTTGTTTTATTGAACATTTTGATTGCTTCCCACTGAAGTGTGGCTGAGAGGTCAGGAGAACAAAGGGAACATCACTTACAGATCTTGCTCTGCCTTATGCCCTTTGCTTCCTGGTTGTCAGACCTCACTCTTGGGTTCTGTGTTTTGAGGTGAGCGTTCCTTCTAGATTTCTTCCCTGCTCAACCTACTTTTGTCTTATCCTAATGGCTTAAGTTGGTAGTGAGTGTAGAGGCCACTGGATCTGTCATCAGACGGTACAGTCCTGCCTCAGGCCCAGTGTCTTACTGTAGTTCTGGAAAAAAAAAGTCCTAGTTTTGTTACCGTCCAGCAAAGGGTCATGACTCAGCTTACCCAGGGAGGTAAGCTCCTCTGGAGAACAGATGTGGTGTTTTAGCCTGTGATTTCCAGGGCCCTCTGAGTCTGTGATTCCAGCTCTTCTGGCTTTCTCTAGTGAGACATGTCTCCTTTCTGAACGTCTGTGCAGCGTATGATCATGTCTTTTAGGAGGTAGATCAACATAATCATTCTTTTTCAAAATAAATCATTCCGTTGCCGATGGTTATAATATTGAAGTAAAGTCAGAGCCAGGTATGGTGGCGCATGCCTAGAATCCTAGTAGTGAAAGTGAATGCAATGATTAACAGGTGTTCTGACTTTTAGGAAAATGGGCTAGAAGATATTGATCGTATCTTAGAGAGGATCGAAGACAGCAGCGGGTTCAGCCACCCGGGCCCCCCTCCACTAAACTCCAGGAAGCACGTCCTGTATGTGGAGCACAGGTACAGCCCTGCCCTCACTTCAGGAGAGAAAAACAATATTTGGGGGAAAAAAAAAGAAGAAGAAAAATTACTATCTTTTTTTCTGGTCAAATCTGATGATACACATTTGTAATCAGCCCCAGCACTGGGAAAGTGGAGGCAGGAGAACAGGGCTGCTCTATTTCTGGGACAGTGGTGAGGTGTAGGGATGCAGTTCAGAGGGGAATGTGCACCTCACATGTGGAATCCCCTGCATCCCATTGTCTGTGCCACCAACTTGACATTCAGCTCCTTTAAAAATCAAAACGAAGCAATGCGTGCTGGGTATGGTAGCTTCTGCTTGTGATACTAGGACTCATTAGGTTGAAGCAGAAAGATTGCCACAAGTTCAAGGACAGCCTGGGCTACAGAATGAGACATTCTGCCTCAGAAGCAAATAAATCAGGCTTATTAAACATTTAAGAAATATCAAGGAAGAAGAAACACTCTTTCATATTTTAGAGGACTTTTAGCTTTATGTATCTTGGATTCTTGAGCTGTGTGGAGCAGCCATTCCCATTCGGATAAGTAAAACATAGTTCTTACTACACGGGTTGTCAGTTTTTTGAGAGTGGGTCTCACAGTGTGCTCAAGGCTGGCTGGGACTTCTGATTCTCCTGCTTCCGCCTTCCAAGTACTGAGATTACAGGCATGTACCACCATGCCAAGCTCCCTATTAGATCCTTATATGAATTTATAAAATTTTATAAAAATTGAAAATTTATAAAAAATTCAGAATTACTGTAGAAGAACATAATTTTTCTTTCTAAACTTTTTCCTCAGGCACTTGAATCCAGATACGGAACTGAAAAGGTATTTTGGTGCTCGAGCGGTCCTGGGAGAACAACGGTGAGGCCCCGGTCACTCTGTGCTCTGCAGGTTCTGTCTTTCCCAGATTGTAAAGGGAAGGCTGTGTAGAGGGAGACTGAGGCAGAAAGAATGCCGTGAGTTCTCGTAGGGGAAATGTTTGCATCTAGAGTGTATTAAGTAGAGCTCTTAGCATTGGTTCTGAAATGAGTCAAAAGAAATGATTTGTGATGCCATCAAGACTCCGTATACCCGGGGTCTGTCCTTCATGCCTTCTTCCCTAGGAAGGACATCATATTTTTACAAAGATGCTAAAGACCTTGTTGTTCAAAGTCGTGTTTTTGTTTTTCAGTCAGTAACTATGTAATCCGAAGTTGAGGTGATAGGAGGTGTTGTATCTGTGGTGGTTTTTAATAGTTCTTAGTGTCTGGGCGACATGTCACAGGGATAGCATTGCAGGGTGTCCCATGAGTCAAGGAAAAGGGTACAAGGGTCCACCTCTGGAAATTTTGTTAGGAAGCAATGTGTATTCTCTCTGCTTCTCCATCAGAATGTCTAGAAAGATTTATCTTTGCTTTATTGTTCATGACAGGATTCTCTGGCCTGGAACTTGAGTTCTCTAACCTTCTGCCTCAGCCTTTTAAGTGCTATGATTGTAAGCTTTGTACTGTCAGGGCTAGCTTAGCACTGTCTTTTTATTTTTTTTAATATTATTTATATTGATAAGATAAAATATAGTGCTTCATATATGAAAATACATTCAAAGAGTTTGCATGTTTGAAATTGTACTGTGTACATGCAATACCTGCAGAAGCCAGAAGAGGGTGTCAGGTCTTCTGGAATTGGCGTTGCATACATGTGGGTGATGGGAATCAAACCCAGGCCGATTATAAGGGCAGCAAATGCTCATAATAGCTGAACCATTTTCCAGCCCCTAGCATTGTCTTTCTAAGTTTTGTGGGTTTTTTTTTTTTCCTGATTGTAAGACAAGTGCATCTTTTGAAAAAGTTTAGTCCGTTTAGTCATTTGACCTTTGGCTTTCATTCTCTCACCACAGCCCCATCTTATTTGGTAATAGGTTGTATACTGTAGGAGCACATGCCAGTACTTGCTTTATGTGACCACGAGAGAATTCTGTTGGTCACTGTAACAGCCTGGTTTGCATGTCTGGTTTTCTAGGTTGTCATTCTCTATGCTGTGATGTACTAGGGTTGGGTACTCGCCCCAGATGCTGGATTGTGTGCAGCTCTTGGCTGTCATCCCATGACTGCACAGCTCTGTGAAACAGAGCTGCCTGCTGCCAACTACCCATGGAGGAGTTGTGTGGCTTAGATTCACACCCCACCCAGGATCAACCTCTTCTCATAGCAGACACGAGAAGTTTTGGGGGCTTTGGTGTTGTTTCTACTTTTATTTCTTAGATTATGACTAAGTCCACTGGCTTTTTGCCTGCCCTTTCCTTTCGTTTTCTATGGGTTTTTGTGTGGTGGAGTAAAATCTCACTGTGTAGTCATAGCTGGCCTAGAATTTAGTGTATACACCAGGCAAGCCTGGAATTCAGAGAGATCCACCTGCTCCTGTTCTCCAAGTACTGGGATTAAAGGTATAGGCCATCATGCCTGGCTTATTTATTTCTTGTTTTATACTTCTAGTGTTTAATTTTTCTGACTTTGATGCCTTCTTTTGGGAACATTGATGAAAAATATGCTTTAAATGTTCCCTTTTGGGGCTGGAATTATAGGCTCATTTGGTAGAGTGCTTGCCTAGCATGCTTGAAGTCCTGGGTTTGATCCCCAACACACAAGTACTCCCAGCACTTGGTGAGAGGAGGCAGGAGGGCCAGGAGCTACCCTCAGCTGCATAGTGAATTTGAAGCTAGCCTGAAATACATGAGCCTTGCCAATCAATCAATCAATCAATCAATCAATTGTTCTCTTAATTTTACTGTCCTGGGCCAAGTTTTCTGTTTCTTTGTATTAGTTACTTTTCTTGTTGCTGTGGCAAACACCTGACAAGAAACTTAAGGAAGGGTTTGTTCTGGCTTTCAGTCTAAGGGGATACAGTCTGTCATGGTGGAAGGGCTTGGCAGTGGGAGTGTGAGACAGCAGGAAGCATGTGTCTGCAGTCAGGAAGCAGACTCCCTTCTCACCCTTTATTGAGTCCAGTATCCCAGCCCCTTGGTTGGTGCTGCTCACATTCAGGGTCAGTCTTTCTGCCATCGCCCTCACAGACTACAGTCTTAGTGATTGCAAATATTGTCAAACTGATAATGAGGGCTAACCCTCCTGCTCTCTCCTGCAACCCTGCTTTGTCTGTCTGCCATTTTGTTACAGTTTTTATTCCTGTTTCTGTGAGTTATAGTTACTGACAGTAATTGATTATATTTGTTTCATTTTGTATAGTGCTAGGGTGAGATCCACAGCCTTACAAACGCTGTGCACACATTGAACACCCGCAGTCCTGGTCTCAACTCATGAACTCTTCACTCACTACTGGTATTGAACTGTGCACAGCTGGGACTATAGGCAGGCACCACCTTGACCCAAGTTCATTTGTTACTTTTATAGTATTGTGTTTATTTCTTTAAACCTTTTAAGTTGGGCCAGAGGTAGCTCAGAGAGTCAAATTGCCCGCTGGCAATTGTCGGTCCCAGAAACTGACACGATGGAAGGAGAAACCAATTCCCCTAAGTTTTCCTCCAACCTCCACACTGGAACCATGGCACATATATGCCCACACATGTGTGCATGAGTGTGAACACAAATACATGGATCAATTTTAAAATATAAAACACAGGCTGGAGAGCTGACTTACCAGTTCAGAGCACTTGTTGCTCTTGTGGAAGACTAGTTCTGTTTCTAATACTCATGCTCACAACCATCCATAATTCCAGTCCCAGGAAATCTAACACCCTTTTCTGACATCCACAGGTACCAGGCTTGCTCCTAGTACACATATATACATGTATGCAAGACATTCTTAAACATAAAACAAATCTTTTTTTAAAAAGCTTTTAAAAACAAAAATTTGTTTTGAGTTTGGTTTTTCAAGACAGGACTTCCTTGTGTAGTCTTGCCTATCCTAGAACTAACTCTGTAGACCAGGCTGGCCCCAAATTCACAAAGATCTGTCTGCCTCTGCTTCCCGAGTGCTGGGATTAAAGGCGTGTGCCATCACTGCTTGGCTGAAACAAGATTTTTTTAAAAAATACAGTCCTTGGCTAGACATGGTGGCACTCACATGTAATCCCTGTGCTTAGGAAGCTGAAGCGGAATCTCAAATTCAAGGCCAGTCTAGGCTACATAAAAAGACCGTGGGTAAAAATATAAAATGTTTAAAAAAATTATGTCTGCCTAAGATTTGTCCCAGAAGCTACCATGTTTTTCCTTTTCATTCTCCACCCTTACCCTGCTGCTTTGAGGCAAAGCCTGAGCCTTTTCTCCTTCCATTGTGGCCAGTGCTCTTTTGGGGACTTCATCTTCCTGTTGACAATATCTGTCCAGAGTTCCTCCCCAAACCTCTCTGAGCATGCCCACCACTCTGTACCCTAAGCCCCGTCCAGGTGAAAGGCTTACTTCAGACTAGGCCAGACGGCCTTCCCAGCTCCTGTGGCCCAGGGACAGCTCCCCTGTCCAGGAACTGTCTGTGGGAACTGCCTGTCTTACTTTCCTTCAGATTTCGACTCTGTTTCTCTAATACACTTGGTTTTCTCCTGCACCTATTTTATTTCTTTTTGAGAGAGAAAAAAAAAATAAGCTTTTCTATCTTGTTTCCAGAAATACAACTTGTTACTCATTCTTTTCAAAGTATCTCAAATTATCAAGGAAGCAGAACAACACACATCCACATGTGACTCACTCAGCAACCCGATGTTTCCCCTCCTGGAAGCGAGAGGGCTCCTTCCTCCTCCCCTGCCATCTGTGCCCTACTAGGTTGGGAGGGCGTGGCTGCTGTGATCCATGCAGGATCTTTGTGAAGAGCCTGGCCTTCCTTTCCCAGCAATCCTGTCAAGCTGATGTCCTTCTGAAATGTGCAGGTGCCCTCAGGGTTCTCCTTATTGCCGTTGCTTCCTTTTCAGATTGCTGTATTGATTTATCAGTCAGGTATTTATCTCATTCCCCGGCACTCAGCGGTAACCAAGGGTTACGTTTGTTCTGCCTGATACCCAAGGGGAGCCAGCTCTATAGCTCACATCTGTCAACAGAATACTTCTCAGGCCTGCCTTTTTGTTTAAGACGGTCTCACTATGTATCATTGGATGTCTGGAGCACTCTGGGTAAACCAAGCCAGCCTTAAACTCACAGAGATCCCCCTACATCTGCTTCTTGAGTACTGGGATTAAAGCTGTGTGCTACCACTTCTGGCCCCCTCTCCTCCCCCCACCCCCGCCTATTTATTGGACTGTTTGAACTTTCTCTTTTATTTTATTATTGCTGTGGATGGACCTAGAGCCTCACATGTGCTGGGCAGATTCTCAGGGCTTCACCTCCAGCCTGGATCCTGTCTCTGTTTCTCTGACTGTAGTGGTGGCTGTGCTGTTACTAGTACTCTGCTCCATGCACCCCGTCTTGTCCGCTAACCGCTCTACTCACACTTGACTTCCACGTACCTTTCCTGCCTCCATTTTGAGTTTTGCAGTTTCCATGAAGATTAGGCAGACCAGCCTGGTCGCATCCACCATGAAAGTGAAACTGCTGTGTTCTGTTTCTCCAGGCCTCGACAAAGACAGCGTGTATATCCTAAGTGCACATGGCTGACAACCCCTAAGAGCACTTGGCCGCGATACAGCAAACCCGGTGAGGCCCTGCTGGGGTTTGGGCAGTGACTTAGATTTGGTACGAATACTCTTAGTTCTCTTGGGCAGTCACCCTTTATTTTAAATTGGTACGGTTTTCTATTTCATAGCAAGCTACCAAATATGCATAATTTAAAGGAAGAGGGCAGCAGTACAGAGAGGCAAGAGGGCATGAAGTAAATGTCCTCTTTAGATACTTGGCTGTGTGGTATAGAAATATAATATCCAAAGACCCTTTTTCATGTCTCAGTTGACCAGCATGAAAGCCCCTCTCAGAGGGTCAGGGCAGGGAACCCACAGTAGTGTGTGGCTGTACTGGTGATAGTGGTGTAGTAGCCCCGCCCCTCCCCAAGAGTCCCGGTTCTTCTGTGCTGGTGTAGGAGCTCTGGGCCTGTCCACTGGTGCTTAACAGTGTCTTTGTCCCTGCTAGGCCTCTTGCCTTGCCAACAAGAACACCTACACATACAGGCAAGCTTGTGGACCATGTAGTCCTGCCAGACTCCATCCTTAGGTAGAGCCATTTTAGGAGGGGAACTTAGGGGAACAAGAATTACTGGCTTGTTTAATGGAAATTTCCCAGGGGGAAATTAAATGTCCCTGTGCACCCAACATTGTATAGAAGGAACAGAAAAGAGTATCTGTCTTAAGTCACCCTCACCCGTAGGTCCTGGTGCAGTGCTCACTGCATAGCCTTTTGGATACTAATCCCAAGAACCTGGGCATGGTGTTCCTACCATGCAGTTACATGTGCTATAGTCTCTAGTATTGCTCCTAGCCATTCATACTGACCTGACACATTTCCCTCCTGTGTGTACTCTGGGTGGATCTGAGGAAGCGAAACAGACAGGACTCGAGGTCTTGGTACAGCTCATTCAGTGTGAGCAGGTCTGAGCCCTCTGCAGGAGCTCTTGGCAGATAACGGCTCATAGCCTGTATAGGACTAGAACTGGCCAGCCTGCCCCAGACACTCAGTTTGAGTTGTGTTCATGTAGCATACTTGTGCTAGGAACAGGAGGGCTGTGACTGCCTAGAGCTGAGGAGTCCTCCAAAGTGCCCCAGCCTGCCCCCCAGCATACCCTCCTGAGCAATATTTCTTCCAGGTCTATCAATGCGGCTGCTGGAATCCAAGAAAGGCCTTTCTTTCTTTGCATTTGAGCATAACGAGGAGTACCAGCAAGCACAGCACAAGTTCCTGGTGGCTGTGGAGTCCATGGAGCCAAACAACATTGTGGTGCGTAACCCCGCAGCTCCTGATGGTTGGGGATCAAGCAGTGCACTGTGCCTGGGCCAGGTCCAGTTGTGACTTGGGGAGGCTTGTCTGAGAGCAGCTGCTTTCCCTGAGAATGGAAGATGCTGTGTGCATAGCAATCAGACCCTGTGTTTGGAGGAAGTGTGCTTAGAACTAACAGTGTAGCCTCTCAGAGGAGAGCCACACTCTGCTCTCGGTTCCCTTCTGCAAACTGTGTGCAGGGCATTGTGGGATCTTTTCCCAGCTGCCTTTGGCTTAGGTGTTATGGCAGGGGGAATGCTTGGTTCCATTCTCCAGATAGCCTGTCCCTTCTGTGCTGCTACAGCCTGTGTTGTCTCCGGGTCCCCTGCCAACCCCATGCATGGGCCACAGTTGAGTTTGCAATCACTGAGGACAAGGAAGAGCTCATTCTTTGTGCCTTTGAGTACCTGATCCCTGAATGATGTCACAGTTCTTTCAGGAGGATAAAAAAATTCTAGTTTCGTTGCTGTTGTTCGGGGAATTAGGCCAATTCTTAGCTCCCACTGAACTGCATCAGTGGTTCAGCTGAGCCACAACACCACGCACCTTGAGGTAAAAGAACTGTGAGCCAGGCATGGTGGTGTAGCCCTTTAATCCCAGCACTTAGGGCAGGGGTAGGTAGATCTCTTGAGTTAGAGGCCAGCCAAGGATACGTAGTGAAACCCTGGCTCAAAAAAAAAAACAAAAACCTAGGGCTGGAGAGATGGCTGCTCTACAAGGGGTCCTGAGTTCAATTCCCAGCAACCACATGGTGGCTCACAACCATCTGTAGTGGGATCTGATGCCCTCTTCTGGCAGAAAGTTGTACATGCAGCTGGAGCACTCATGTATATTAAATAAAGTTTGAGGAAAAAAAGACTAAAAGCAAAACAAACTATGACTCATTTTTGATGGTTTTTCTCAGCATGGGGCATGGCCTGGTGCCCTCTGAGGCATGTCCCATGAGGGTGCTACCTACAGTTTTTCTGTAAAATTATCTTCCTTTCCAACAGGTTCTGCTCCAGACAAGTCCCTATCATGTCGACTCACTCCTGCAGCTCAGTGACGCCTGCCGCTTTCAGGAGGATCAGGAAATGGCTCGAGACCTTATAGGTGAGCCAGCTGCATCTGCCGCTCGAGCCCCTCCAGCTCACAGGCAAATGCTGCTTCATGAGATGACAAAGGATGTTTCATGGAGATAGAATTCACTTGTGTAGAATGTACAACTCACTGTTTTTAGTGCACGCAGGTGTATAGCCTTTACCACAGTCTGTATCCATCCGTTTTAAACCCTTTTGTCTGTAAGCAGCCCCTGTCCTTCAGTCCTGGGAACAACTAGTGTACTTTGTCTGTAGTTATGCTTGAAGTGTAGAGGTCGTGCAAACATGGCTTTTGTGTTTGGCTTCTTCCTTTACCGTCTTTGCTATTCGTGTTGGAGCATGTGCCATACTTGCACCCTGATGTTGCTGTGTACTTGGTCTGGGTGTAGACTGTGTTTTCTGTATGTCACTAGTTGATGAACATATAGGTTGTTTTCTGGCTGTCGGAAACGGGGCTGCTATGACATACATGTGCAGGCTTTGTGCGGGTGCCTCTGGTGTACACGTGTGGGTGCTCAGTGTAAGCAGATCGCAGCACCAGCTGTATCTCCTGGTATACGAGTCGTGGAGGAATACCTGGGAAGTCCTGTGTGTGCCCTCTTTCTTGCAGGGTCTCAGTTCATGACCTCCCTCCTTCCAGAATGTTCCTTGTTTTGAGTTGTTAGAGGAGAGAGTTATAGTCATTTGTCTGTGACAGCATCCTCTGGTATTTGTGGCCCACAGAGAGAGCACTGTACAGCATGGAGTGTGCATTCCACCCCTTGTTCAGTCTCACCAGTGGGACTTGCAGGCTGGATTACCGCAGACCTGAGAACAGGTGAGTTTGGGCCACCCTAGAGTGAGTAACGGGCTACCTTCAAGTCACATGAGTGACTGTTATGAGCTTAGTGGGGAACAGGTGATGTAAGACTGTCCCAGGGAATGGATCAGGGCTTTGACAATTCAGAGCACCGTCTAAGCTTTGGTGTGTTCACTGCTGAACTGTAGAGGGCTGGGCTCAGGGAATCAGGCATCAGATTGGCCCAACAGTAAACCTATTCAAGTTATAAGTGACAAGCCACAGAACAGCGAGGGCTGGAATCATGCTCTCCGTGTGTTTGGAGGAAGACCCATTCCCAGGGAGGTTAAACTATTTAGCGTGCTTTGCAGTTTTGTTCCTGATTCTTAAGTCTGAGATGAGCACGGGTACAGCTTGACGTCGGGGATCACACGGAGAGGATTCTCTTTACCATGTTTCTCTAAGCCTGCCCACCCTCTGGTTTTAGCTCGTATGTGTCTCCCTCCCTCCCATCTAGCACTCTGCTTCTCTGGATACCCTGGTCTTCCGTTATAGGAAGTCCTGCACCTTAGCTACAGCTGTTGTCTGATCTCCTGCACAGAATGTTGGGACTGAATCTCCTCCTCTGGGTTCCTGTGTATTACTTTTGTCTCTTCTAGTTAAACTCTACTTTGAAACAATTTCTAAAATTAAGTCGCCAAGATGACTAAAGCCATCCAGCTTTGTGCTTCCAGATGTAATGCTATGACAACTGGTAAATCTGAGCATAAGTTAAGAGTATAATTACATAGGTTCTAATTCTTTTCCTTCAAAGGTAACCAGTAAACAGCTAGCAGGAAGACGGGTTTAGCCAGGTGTGGTGGCACATGCCTGTAGTAAGTCATCTTTGATTACATAGTAAATTTGATGCCAGCCTAGACTACATGAGATCTCCTCTTAAACCATAAAAAAAAAAAAAAAAAAAGAACAAGACATTGATTGTAGCCTAGGATAGTGGCACCCGTGAATGGATTAGCGTTCTGAAGTAGGAAGATATCTTGAGCCATTTTTTCAAGGTTAGACTTGGCTGTAGAGTCAGACCATGTCTCAGAACTGGAAAAGCTTGATTTTCATGGCTAAGTATATTTATTACTAAATAACGAGGAGCACACATTTCCTGCAGACACGCAGGGAATGATCACAAACCCTGTATCTAGCCACATAGGAACTTCGGTCGCAACCCAGAGGGTGGACACAGTGCTGGCCCTTCCCGTTGCCATGCTCTGCTCCTCCGTCGCTAATGCGCAGGTAACTGTCTCTGATCTAGGAGCTTCTATCTGGCCCTCTACAAGCAGATGAGTTTCTTGGAGAAGCGAGGATGCCCACGTACTGCGCTAGAGTACTGCAAGCTCATCCTGAGGTGAGTATTCGCTTTGGCTGCATGGCTACCTGTTCCCACCACAGTGGTCCCAGATCTGTGGGGTCTCCAGCCATGACAACACTTCCTCTGTCTCCTTTGTTCTCCACTTACTGTGCTGCCGCCGGAAGCCTTGAGCCAGATGAGGACCCCCTGTGCATGCTGCTGCTTATTGACCACCTGGCCTTACGGGCCCGGAACTATGAGTACCTGATCCACCTCTTCCAGGAGTGGGAGGTATGTGCGAGCCATGTGCAGCTGTGTGTCTGTCTCCCTTACCTTTCTCACCCACACCCTATGTGTTTGAGGGATGGTTCTGTGATGAGATGGTGAAGGCATGAGCCAGAGCTCAAGTAGCTCCCAAGAGCCTTAGGAGAACCCCTTTCCACGGGCCTGCACCAAGGACATATGCACAAACAGTGGTACCAGTGGTGACGGAAAGTTGGGAAAACCCCACAACTCACTCTGGTCCATGTAAGAAGCGATCATGAAGCAGACCGTCATATAGGGGTCACCATAGGGAACTGCAGCAGTGCTGGACAGACAGTCATAGACCAATCACTGTGCCTTATCAGATTTATATGTAAATAAAAATGAAAGATAGCAGCTGAGTGTTGGTGGCACACACCTGTAGTCCCAGCACTTGGGAGGCAGAGGCAGGTGGATCTCTGTGAGTTCGAGGCCAACCTGGTCCACAAGAGCTAGTTCAGGACAGGCTCCAAAGCTACACAGAGAAATCCTGTCTCGAAAAACTTAAAAAAATAAAAATAAAAGCCTGATACCACACTGCTGCCATCTGGCCCAGATGCTGTGGGTGCTAAGTGCACCTTGGGTGTCAGACAGCACCAAGAAAGAACACACACTGTCATGTCCATGACTGGGCACGTGTGCTCATGTGTTGAAATAACATTCCAGTTTATTGTGCTTTAAGATCAGTTCTGCCATTCTCCGTCATGCACTGCTAGACAGTTTAACAGAGTCCATCCCATCCTCATCCCATCCTCATCCCATCCTCATCCCATCCCCATCCCATCCCCATCCCATCCTCATCCCATCCCATCCTCATCCCATCCCCATCCCATCCTCATCCCATCCCCATCCTCATCCCATCCTCATCCCATCCTCATCCCATCCTCATCCCATCCCCATCCCATCCCC